TTTTTTTTTTTATGATTCATTACTTAGTTGTATGTTCAGCAACAAAATTTTTCTTTCTTCATATTCTTTTTTTTTGTTGTAAATTTTATCCACAAACAGATCACTTTTCACTGGGGTGCAGTTTTAGTTGGTAGAATAAATTTTTTATAACAGTTTTCTTTTGTTTTTTTTTTTTGTTTTTTTTTTGGTTAAATTTTAAATTAATTAATTATTGGTGTTTTTAAATTTACTGTTTAGTATTTGGGAACCCCTTAAAGTTGACATTAGATTAAATTTAATGACAATAGCTGTGTAAAAGTGAATTCTGTCAGCTATTTGGTATGTATAAAGTGAACCAAACATGAACAACTGATCATTTACTCTCGTTTTTGGCACAGATTTATTATGCCTTAACAACAGTTGTCAAACAAAAAATAAAGACAACAAAAGCAAAATGAAAGAAAAAAAAAAGAATAAAAATAGACAGATATGAAGTTGAAATGAATTGCTAAAAGAAGAAGAAGAAGAAGGAGAAGGAGGAGGAGGAGAAGAAGAAGAAGAAATGATTGCTGAAACATTGGTCACTAAGAAGATTAGTGCAGTTTGGTGTTGTCAATTAGTGATGAGGTGAATGTTTACAGGCCTTATTATGCTCATTGATGCATGAAAACAAACGGCACCAACTGCTCCAAACTATCTTACCTTAGCACCAAAAAAAAAAAAAAAAAGCTTTTTTTACTGCTTTAGTTAATAGTTCTTTTAACTTTTTAAGCTTTTGTTGTCATTTTTTGGTTGCCTGGTATTGGCGTTTTTATTACTGACAAAGGGAGAATGCAAGCAAAAGTCGGCTATGAAAAAAAGGGAGGGTAATTATTGTTCGATAATTACATCTGAAGACATCGATATTGCTATCCATAATTTAGAGCAAATTAAATTTTTTATTTTTTCTACTCTTTGGCCCTCTTTCGTTTGAAGAAAAAAAAAATTTTTCTATCTTTTGCAACAGGTAAACTTGTTTAGTTGATATGTACAGATCAAAAATTTATCTATCTTCAACTTTGACTACTAACCTCTTCTTTTGGCAATTCGTTGCTTGTCTTCCTCTGTTCCCAATTTCATCTTTTTATACAAAATTATAAACGAAAAAAAAAATAACCCTAACAATAAATTATATTATATGTTTAACTGCGCACATAAACACATTTTTGGGGAGCTTAACATGGAAGAAGAAAAAGAAAAGAAAGAAATGAAAGGAAAAGAAATTAAAAGGATATGCAGGAAAAAAAAAAAAAGAAGAAAAAAGCATTCCAGACAACCTCAAAATTTTTTTTTCTTCTTTTGGTAGACAGTTAATACATTTGAACACTGCAAAAACATATTTATTGCCATTATTGCTGAAAATGTTTGAAATCTGTTCTGAAAAAAGTTATACCACCTCTTTTCGGTGAGACAATTCGATTTGTTTGGTTAAGGAACCTTTTTTTGTTTTTTAAATTATCTATTTATACTATAGACCAAGAATAAATTGTCTAATGAATTAAGCAACAGCTCAGCAAACAACTTCTATCTATGGAAATAATAATGGAAATAAATGAGGAATTGTTAAGAGTGGAATACAGAAATTTAGTTCAAATAAAAAACCCTTTTATATTATCAGTTATAAACAGATTCTTTTTTTTTCGTATTGTTTTTTTTCCTTTTTTCAGATGGATTCTGTTAATTGTACTGATATTGGTGGTCCTGGCGATGATAATCATTTTAATATTAATTATCTTATTTAGTCCGTCTTGTAGTCCAGTTTATAAATCCTTTTGGTGGAACAATGCTATTATTTATCAGGTAGGTGCAATTTTGCAGCCTAAACTTTTCCTGCAGACCTCTGTTAATGTTCAATTTTTCTATAAGAGGTAAATCAACCTTTCAACAGCTAAACTAATTGTTGTAAACACTCTAATTGTTGTAAACACCCGAAAAGTCATGGTTAAGTGTCAGCTTGGTTTCAGTTGATACTGTTGTTTGACTTACTGACTTTATAAGTAAATATTTGCATAAAAAGAATGAGAAGTTATTGAAAAAAGAGATTTTACATTTCTTTTTTGAATGAAATGTTATTGAAAGAAGGTTGTCGTTACTGTTGCTATTGTCATAAGTCGAAAATGTATGTAAAAGGCAATATTTTGGTTTTGCAATTTGTAAAAGAGTTGGAAATTAGAAGTGGAAAGAAGAAGTAAGCAAAAAATTTGGAATGTTATAAGGGATTCAATATATGTGAGAAATGAGAAAACAACAAAAGCAACAGTAATGGGATAAAAAAAAAAGAAAATTGATAATGCTAAATCGGATGTGTAAAAACGTTAATTTATTTGAAGAACAAAGAGCTTTAGTTGTCATCATTACAAACGACACGGCTTCTTAATTGTTGCTGAAGATTCTAAAATATAATAATCGGATTTTTACAGCTGTTATTTTGAATAATTAGTATTTGTTGTCGGACCACCCCAACCACATCATCGGCCTATAATGGGCCGGTGCTTTACAATTTTGTCTGTCAACAATAGATGATGGCCCTATGATCACTCCTCCTCGGTTTTGTTGGTTGCGGAAGACTAAAACAAATATAGTTTTTAATAGGGGCGAGCAGAAAAGAGAAATAAATTCCCTCTTTGATTTTTATTTTTTTTTTCTTTTGCTTTTCTTTTTCTGGTTGGCCACTTCAACAAACATCTGTTTTCATTCGAGCCAAAACTATAAAAAAAACTAAAAAATGTTAAAAATAAATAGATGAACAGAAAAACAGACAAAAAAAAAGCACAAATAGTAATTTAAAAAAAGTAAAAGTTGACCTCTAAAAAATATGCATAATTACTGATTGTTCATCAGCAGTAATATTATAATTGAAACTGTTCTTGTTTTTTTTTTTTTTCTTTTCTGCTATCTTTTCCATCAAAAATACTTCAGATGGATATACAAATAGGATTTATAAAGATTATAGGTTTGGACTCCGTCGTTTCAAGATTCAAATGGCGATGGATTAGGTGACTTAGTTGGTTTAAGGAATCGTTTAGGAAAACTAAAAAAAATTGGTATTACCGCTATATGGATATATCCGTTCCTGGAAACGGATCATTTCTCTGAAGCTGTCCGTGATCATCGTACAGTAGATCCACGACTTGGATCTATGGACGATGCTGAATTGTTAATTAAGCAGGCTCACGAAAAAGGTTAGTTTTTTTTTTTTTGGGGGG